AAAAAGAAAATAGAATTCTTATTTTATGTTTAGAATTTCACTTTTTATTTATAAATTTATATATCTTATTCTATTCTAATAGTTCTCTATTTTATTTATTTTTTGAACAGAATTCGGAGTTGTCGTTTTGTTCTTAGTGATTTAGGTGGTGGTTGGTATCAGGGAAATTAGGAGAAATTGGTATTTTATTATGGTAAAAGTGACTTTTATTGAAGGTTAAAAGTGGCATTAGAAAACTCTCATTTTTGGGGTGCATGTAGAATCTTATGTGTTTCTTTACTTGAGGGTCAACTCATTTTTCCTTAGTTTAAATTCATTGTAACATTGTAGATAATTTAATGAGATTAAAAATTCGAATATGGAATTCTACTAAATTTAAGTCCTTTTGAGTGTATATAAAGCAGCGCAATGCTTTAGGGAGAAGTAATTCAGATCTACAGCACATGAGCTTTCCTTTACACGTGTGACACAATTCAAACATGTATGGCAATGCATGCAGAATTCAAATACTTTCTCCTTTGAATGAATGTGGTTTATAATAGCTTATGCATACATTTCCATTCCACCTAAAGGTTTAATATTTGCACTTGTTTGAAGAAGTTGTAGTGGAGCATTAAATATGCTCTAGGTTTTTCTTGGCTTTTAGCCTATGCTGCATTTCATGCTAGATCAGAAATTTGAGAGGAGAAGTTAAATCCATTAAGAACATCGGGTTCGGTGAAATATTGCTTCTCAAAAGACCGAGGTAGAGTTTGGATGAAAGAAGTTGGTTTCTAGATTGGAGTGAAACTACACTCACTTAAAACTGAGTGTTTCGAACTTGCTATTTTTGCATTTTCTCAGAACTGATATCTGAAATTGCCTTGCTTTCTGAAGTTACCTAGAGTACACCAAAATGTTTATAGGTGCGCAAAATGGTTGTTTAGTAGAATCAGGTTCTATTTTGATGGAGAAGATTTAAGAAAATTGGGTTCTATCATGATGGAGAAGATATATTAACTTCTTGTATTTATTTTTCATTTGATTGATATTTTTAGAATTATTTTTTCTTCACTAGTCAAAGTATTTCTCTTTTGTTTGGAATCCCATGCGATCAGCATTTTGTCCAATGTAATTACTTTCTATCTCTTAAAATCTCTAGTTCACTCCGAAGGAAGGTTGGACGACCCCTAGGAGGAATGATATAGTATTCACCTCCCCAACTGGAGAAGATATCAAGACTAAGAGACTGTTGGATCAATACCTTAAATCTCATCCTGGAGGCCCTTCAGCTGTTGACTTTGATTGGGGTATAGGTAGACTCTCTCTTTCTGTACATGCATATGTCTGAACATAAACGTGTGTGGTGTGAGCATTCTAAAACACGTGAAATATCTGATGCTGTTAAGATTGAAAGATCAAAATTGAGCCTCAATTATGAGTCATTAGACGATCGAGAATATACATCTGATGAGCTAAATAAAAATAACCTTCTCAGCTACTGACCTATGCAGGTGACACTCGAAGGCGTTCTACAAGGTTAAGCGAGAAATCAAAGATGCAGGAGGTACCAGAAATTGTAACTCCCAAGAAGAAACAAAAGAAACACGGTGAAAAGAAAGAAGCAGAAGAGAATGAGGATGCTGATGGAGTGGAGGGTAATGATGACAAGGATGCTACTAAAGAAGAAACTAAAGGAGGGCCTGATGTATCTATGACTGATGCAGAAAATGCTGTGGATGATGATGGTGGAGAGTTTACAGCTGACGGTGCTCTCCTAGATGAGCATAATATTGAAGACGAGGAGGAGGAACCGCCTGCAGCTGATGTTCCAATTGATTCAACCACTGATAAGGTGGATGCTGAAGTTGAGGAATTAAAGGATGCAACTGCAGATGTGGCTGGTGCAAAGGTAGAGACTAAGGATTGGGCTAATGATGTCAAGATTAAGGAATCAAAGGGCGAGGACTATGCTGAAAAAGAGATTTTTGACGGGAAGGCTGATAGTGCAGAAGCAGCTGCAGCAGATAATGACGTGTCAAAGGATAATCAAGAAAAAGAAAAGAAAAACCAAGAATGACCATCTTGAAACTAGGGACAGGAGGGAATAACAAAATCTCGAGTAGCTGAACTTTTTGGTAGGTTCTTGTTGTATTCTCACCCTGGCATTCATCTTTCAGATAGGGTTCTAACAAGCAATTGTAGATCTGTTCTGCTAATTACTGTTAGGAATTCTTGGAGAAATTGATGGGTGTTGATATTTGCAGTGTCCACATCATCAATTATGCGCTTGAAGTTGTATAGTTTTTTGATATATAATAGACAGTCAACTGAATTTGTGCTTTATCTGTGCATCTTACCTGGATTTAAATTATACGGAGCATGTGTTGGAGTTGATGGATCTAAAATTATTACTAACCATTGCATCCACTATAGCTTTCATCAAAATAAATGCATTATTCCTATTTTTATTATCCTTCTCTCCTCGGCAAGGCTGTCGATTCATAGGAAACTGAGAGAGATGAATAAGACCTGTGGATGAACGACCAGACTCCAGGTGAACTAATGACGAGCAAAGCATTGAACTTTTTACGAGGGAATAGCAAGAAGGCAATTGAATAAAATTGAATTCTCCCATTCATCAAAAGGCTTGTGTCTATTATTCAGCAACTCAGTTTTTGTTCCCAAAGATTGCCAATAAACACGTAAGGTGTTGACACATAACCTCGATTACAGATTCATAAAGTAGCAGCAGTTAGTTTTAATTTTCAAAATATAAAGCATTTTTAAGAAAGCAACATGCGAAATAAAAGCTCAACTCCTTGTACTCGCGCAAACAAACACTAGTTTCCACCAAATCTGATCAGTAGCATTCTGTGAAATGATAATCAGTCACCCTCAGCCATCATCACTGCTGAGCACATTGCACCCTCTGGGCCCCGCCGGGCATGTCTTCATCCTCCTCATCGTATGCCTCTTGACGCTGAGCTTGCTTCCTACGCATCTCCTCCTCCATGTTAACATCTTGCAATGTCGTCTCCTCGCACTCATCCAGATCCAGGTCCGATGGTTGCAGAGACGGCTTTGGAGGTAGGACAGTCTCCAAGGCCTTGACTTGCTCTGGAGTTAGAGATTTAGGGAAATCCACATTGAAATGAATATAGAGTTTACCCTTCATGAATGGTCTCCCATGCATTGGCATCCCTTCATCGTTGATGGCCTTAGTTGAATCTGCAGGATTTTGCAAGCATGGACATCAAATTCTTCAATAAATATAATGGCATGTTTCATCAGGTTGCAATAGACAGTATTAGAGACGTTGAACCATCTCATCTCAAAGCTTAAAGTTGTTAGAGAGGAAACAAATGCTATCACATGCAGGCAGATTCTCTTTATTTATTATTATTATTTTTTTTTTCCTTCATCAAATGCCTGAGACAAGCGCAATTTCAAGTGGGTAATAGCAAGAGTTGAACTCAAAGCATCTTTCTGTCCGATAGTTAACCACCTCATCGAAGAGCTAGGACTTACAGAGAGGGAACAAATTTATTGATTTAATTTCTCCATTGAAAGAGGAAAATAGGTTAAAATTTTGTTCATAGTATTGTAGGTTGAAATCTAGTACTATGTACCAAACATGCCCCAAGGGTAAAGTTCCAGAAAAGTACTAACCAGGTTTCACGACTTCTCCAGGTTGTGATTTGATAAGGAGGTTCCTACCATCCAAGTGAGACAATATAAACTGGAAGCCGCACAAAGCTTCGGTAAGACACAGTGAGTGCTCCACAAAAAGATCATCACCCTTCCTCTTGAATTTAGGATGTTCCCTCTGCTGGAGGACAACGACAACATCTCCAGTGATTATCTCGGGCTGCAAAGAAAAACGAAATTTTAGAATCTTGGAAATTTCAAAAATATAACATACGTACACGAGGTCAAGTCACGGTACCGCTTCATCAGCTTCTCCATGGAAAGTAATCTGCTGTCCATTCTGCATACCCTTCTCCACGTGGACTTCCAAAACTTTCTTCTCTGACAGAACCTTTTCACCTTTGCACTGAGAGCAGCGATCTTTATCATTAATAGTCTCTCCCGTACCCTTGCATTCGTTGCAAGGATGCTGCATCTGCTGGAGCATACCTGGGCCAAGTTGCCTAATTGTTACCTTCATACCAGTTCCTTGACATCCAGAGCACTTCATTGAAGCTCCAGATTTCGATCCTTTGCTGCCATTGAAAACACACCAGCAAAGGCACATTAGCTCACCGCCAAAACACGGGCATGTCAGGTACTACATTGAACAGTAGAGTGATTGATGAAACTTACCCACTACACTTTGAGCAAAGGACATTGCGGGATATAGGGATCTTTTTCGTGGTCCCAAGGTACAAGTCCTCGAGAGAGACCTTCAATGGATGTGCTACATCCTCTCCCCTCCTCTGCCTTCGTCCCCTACTGCTACCACCGCCTGGTCGCAAGCATATAACTCAGTTAAGGTGTTCTCTTACAGAGAAGCTTGAAAGCTAATCAAAACCAACAATTGCATGTTTGGTAGAGTGGATTGAATAGCATATGGAAATATTAATAAGAGGAAGTTACTTCAATTGAAGGAAGTTCTTCAGTGTCATGTACTAAACATGCTACAAAAGCATAAAGAAGAATATCACGATATTATATAAAGCCAAAAGAACTCACCTCCAAATGGGCTTCCACCAAAGAAGGATTGGAAGATGTCAAAAGGGTCATGCATGCCGCCGCTGCCGCCACCTCCCATTCCTTCCTTGAGTGCATCTTCACCATACTCATCATAGATCTCGCGTTTTTCAGGATCACTCAGAACCTCATAAGCATGTGCAAGCTCCTTAAACTGCAAATAAGCAATGCCATTAGATTCAAGTCTCAATACATTAAAATCATATGTGAAAGTGGATAGGATGTTATCCCAATGTTTCAAAACCTGCTTGGACGTTGACCCAAAAAAGAGAAAGGGTCAAACGTTGGACAGGGGTTGAACCAGTAATTAAAAAGTTCATATATAAAAAATCAATAGTTAACAAATTACAAATATATACTAAACAGTAAGTAATCTATATGCATTGAGCATCGAGCATCAAGTCAACTCTATCTTATCCATTTTCATCTTCAGCTTCGTTCTCCATGGACCATTGATCATCTATTTCACTTATTTCATATTAATTCTTTCCTAGAGCAGGTTTGGCTAAGCTTAAAAAGCTTACTTATAAGTAAATAACTTTTAAAATCAATAAAAGAACTTATCGGTGAAAGTTGCAAATAAGCAGCTGCTTATTTTGACACTAAGCTGAGAGTTACCTCCAAAATAAGTAACTTCTTTTTCTAATTTAAAATTAAGAAAAATGTAAGGTATGCAAAGTGCAAACATGTTTGGAAACAAAAATGTAATTTTACTTCTTTTAAATTTGAGACAAATATGCTTAATTTGGACTGTTTCGATCTTCATAGAACTCCTCTAATTAATTCCAACACTTAAAAAGTAACCAACATTTTCAAATAAAGAAAATCAAATACCCAATTCCATTATCATTTCCTTGAGTTTTCTCTTCCATCCACAAGATACATATGCAAAATAATCATACAATCTTCCACCACAGAAACCAGAGTAAAAACAGACATAGACCAAGAAATTCCACAGTTCACCAAAACAGTTACTTAAAAAAAATTAAAAATTAAAAATAGAAAAATCAAAACCTAAAAATGTACCTTTTCAGGGTCACCTCCCTTGTCAGGATGATTCTTGATAGCAGCTTTCTTGTAAGCCTTCTTTAAATCATCCTGCGACGCAGTTTTGGGTACCCCCAGAACTTCATAGTACTTAGTATTATCACTTTTTTTCGGAGCCCTCCCAAACATTTTGAAAAAAAATAAAATTAGTCGAATATCAAATACTTCCACAAGCCCAGATCAAAAACGTGTAAAATTAATAGATCGATCAAGAACTATATTGGTTATATGGGTTTGGTCACAGCAAAAACGAGATACGAGGGGAGAACTCAAGAAAGACTCCAAGAATATGCCGCAGGCTGAAGGGATGAATATATAGGGTGTTTAACGACTGAGATTGAGTCTGGGGTGGAGAAAGATATTAGCCGTTGGATAATAGGGTAACAGATTCTTTTCTTTCTCTTGGAGGAATGTTGATCGTTGATTAGAGACGTACGGTTGAGATTCAAATAGTCTTGAGAAGAAGTATAAAATAACACACATTGCCCCTAATTTTGTGTGATAATTACATTTGAACCCTATATGATTTCTGAAATTACATAAACCCCCTCATTTCGTATTTTTACTTTCAATAACATCCACCAACTACATTAGAAACTAGAAATCTTCTTTATCCTTAATTATTTTTCACGAATCAATAATTGTTAAAGGTTAAAATCGTTATTATTGGTTTTTCGTTACGCGTGACTAGACATCGTTGAAATAATCGAGGAATGAAGATATCAACTTGTGTATGTTGTCGACTTCAAATTTATTAAAATGAAATTTTATTTATTATTATTATTTTATAATCTTCCATATATTTATTATGAATTATGAGTGAACTTATTCATTTTTTATTTTTTGGTTTGGCACTCTCTAGTCTCACCTCGACTAACAAATACGAGGTTAAAATAATTACAATAAATACACCAACAAATTCAAATTTATTTTTATTTTTAATAAAATTATAGTTAGTTATGTACATTCTTTCTCATCATTCCATTCACTTCGGGCGCATTTGATGGCAAGCAAGGAATTTGCATGGGAAAAAAATTCTATGCAATTCAATTGTATAGAACTTATTTGTATGGAAATTATTAATTAAATGTACTTGGTCGATTTAGTTTTCAATTTAGAAAATATTATATCTGTCAATTTTTTTATTGGTGGGTAGAAGAGGGAGTGAAATATTTGAAAAATAAAACCTAACTCTTTTTGAAAAAATTGTTATCCTTGTTTTTGAGGAAAATATGAGTAGATAATCCAAAGTTGAAAAATGTTTTCCATGGAAAAAAATTAATAATCGTTTCACCTCAAAAGTATGAATTTTGGTGAAAATGACATTTTTAATGAAAAATAAAGTCAATCTAACACACTATTCATTATTTTAAGTCTTAAGAAATGCATATCGAGGTTCTTCACTCAAAATGTAACGAATCTCGTGTGAAATATCAACACATGACAACCATTCTCCTTACTCGACGTAGGACCCAATTTGAAGAAACACGGACAAAGTTTCTAATATAAAAAAGTGAAATATAGCACACTGGCTAAGCTAAAAAAAAAATACTTAAATTTACTTTCGAGTAATATTTTGTTTTCAAATATGTCAAATAAGTTGTTTTATACTCATAATAGTATGTTTCACGTCGCTTATAAGTGAACTTGTGAGTATGAGAGAGAAGAAAAAGTAGAACTTTCTTATATACTCGAGTAATTTTTTTGAACTAGGCCTTTGAATCCTCTCATTTCTCCCCAAGAGACAAAACAAAACAAAAATGACTAGATGTCACTCAGTACCATTATCATTTTCATGTGTTTTACCTAATTTGGACAAAAATATCTTTCTGATCATCAAAAGCAAGCTCCTTAACTATAGAAGAGTCAAAGAGAGGTAGTTGCTCATCTTCTTTAGTTGCTCATAATTTGCTTATAACTTATAAGTTGATTGCCAAATAAACTCAATTCTAGTTCCCTTCCAATTCTCTTAACAGTGTAGATTGCTACTAAAAATGAAAATGTTTATTCTCCATTTACTGTTAATGTCTGCAATTCGCGCAGAAGTACTTGTACAAGTGATGAATCACCTCGATAATGGACATTGTATGAACGTACATTGTCAATCGAAGGACGATGATCTTGGACTTCACTTGGTGGAAGATGGTGACGACACCACTTGGAGTTTCGATGTGAATTTTTGGGGCACAACTTTATTTTACTGTGATGTGCAATGGGATGACTCAAAATGGCACCACTTTGATGCATATGATGCTAAAAGGGATTATAGAAGATGTCTATC